TTGCAGGGAGCTGGGTTCTGGATGTTGAAAGCTGGGTGCTAGTGTCTGGCTCCTGATTGCCAGGTGCTGGGAGGTGGAGCTGGGTGCTGGGAGCTAAGGGCTGTGTGGGAGCTTCGGAACTCAGCACTGGGCAGTGGGCATGGGAGCTGGGTGCTGGGGGGATGGGAGCTAGGGTCAGAGGGCAGTGGGAGAATGCTGGGGGCTGAGAGGTAGGCACAAAATCTGGGTGCTGGATCCTGGGTGTTGGGTATGTGGTCCTGGGAGTCCTGGAGGCTGGAAGCTGGAGCTGGGTATGAACTGTGAGCTAGGAACTAGTAGATAACAGTCCTGATGGCAGAGTGTGCTGTTAAGTGCAAGGTCAGCAGTTCAAAACCACCAGCCCTGCTGAGGCAGAAGGACGATGCTGTCTACTCCATACAAATGAACATTCTCATAAACCCACAGTGCTGGCTTTACTCAGTCTTAGAGGGCTGCTCTGAGCTGGTATTAGCCCACTGGCAGGGAGGGAGAGAGGTAGGTGCTGGGTGCTGATCCTGTGTGCTAGGAACTGGGAGCTGGGGCATGGGAGTAATACCTGAGGGGTAGAGGTTGGGTGCTCAAGTTGTGAACTAGGGGCTGGGAGCACGGGCATTGGAGTTTGAGCTGTGCTCTGGGAGCTATCAGATAGCTGAGGGCTAGGTGCTAGTTGCTGAGGCTGGGTGCTAGGAGCTGGGAGCTGGAAGCTGGAGCATGGGAGTAATAGCTGAGGGCTAGGGGCTGGGTGCTGAAGTTGTGAACTTGGGGCTTGGAGCTCAGTCATGGGAGTTTCAACTGTGCTCTGGGAGGTGGTATCTCATAGCTGAGGGCTAAGAACTGGGTACTGAAGCTGTGTGCTATGGGCTGGGAGCTGGGGCATGGGAGTGTGAGCTATGCTCTAGGAGCTATCAGATAGATGAGGACCAAGGGCTGGGTGCAGGCACTCAAATCTGGGTCCTGGCAGCTGGACGGTAGAGCAAGGTCCAGGGACATGGTCTAAGATCTGGGAACAGCTGTATGCAGACTAGAGAATGAAAGGAAGGTTCATGGTGTGCTAGTTGGGGAGAGAAGTTGAGGCTGGGTGTTAGGAGGTGAAAGTACAGACTGAAATGTGAGAACTGGCGGTCTGTGAGTAACAAGCTAGGGGCAGTTGGCTGAGAAGTAAGGACTGGGAGGAGCGGCTGGGGACTAGAAGTCTTGGGCTGAGCTTTGGGAGCTAGAAGTATGATTCAGGCACTGAGTGGGCATTGGACTGTGGGCACAGGGGCAAGGAGCTGCAGTGGAGGCCTGCTACCAGCACAGAGGAGAAGGGGCCTTGACAATTGAGCAGAAGACAGACGAGAGGGGAGGGGAGGGAAGGAGAGCAGAGGAGAGATGATCCTGGCAGTGCAGGGAAGAGCTCAGTGCTGGGAAGTGAGGGCAAGGGGCAGCTAGGGCTGGTGGCAGTGCCATGGGCCTGATGCTAGAGACAGGGTCTGGGCTCAGGAAGCTGCAGGGCACCTACCTCTGAGGGCAAAAGGCTGGGAGGCATAGGGTCCTGCAGGGCCAGAATCCAAGATGCTGGGAGGGAGGCAGGAGCCCTGGGCCTAGCATGTCAGGAGGCACCTGATTTGCACTGACTGAAGGGCAGCAGGGAACAGAGGCAGGAGCAATGGTCCTGGGGGGAGGGGGTTGCTGGTGCAGAGAGGGGACCATAGGTGGCAGGGTCTCCTGTACTGAGGGGGGATGTCAGAGGCTCTTCCAGAGGGCTGGGCTCTGTGTCAAGGGAATGCTGCCAGAAGGTGGGATCACAAGACAATTGATGGGGCAGGGGAACTCAGCAAGGAAAGGTGGGGGCACAGAGGCTCACCAGCAGGGCCAAGGTCTCAGCCCTGAGTAGTTGAAGCCCTACTTTCTTCCTCCAGCTGAGGTTCCTGCTTAGAGCACCAGCACCACTGAGGAGGTCCCTATGCAGGGACAGGCTCAGGTAGGGCAGTGGAGTGGGGTGTGGGGCAGCCCAGCCCTCGCACACAGGGCCATTCTCAGCCTGAGCTGGTGGCTTGGGAGCCAGGAAAGCTGAGGAGGGGACTGGTTCCCAGACTGACTCTAGGTAGTGGAGCGAGGAGGAGCTGGAGGCCAGAGAGGAGGGAAGGTTGGGCCTCCTGAGGGTCCACAAGACGCTGGACAGGGGCCATGGAGGATGGGAAGAACACAGTGGAGCTCATTTGCCACAAGATCAAGGCCAGGGGGAGCCAGGAGCTCAAGACTCAGAGAAGAAGGAGACGGGGCCAGGCCAGGTTTCTGGCTGGGTCTGTGGAGGTTGGTGAAGGGGCAGAGGCTGCCATGCCCGTGAGGGCAGGGAGGGAGCCGGCCAGCAGGACCTGCCTTGACACTGGTCCTGCGAAGGCTTTCCTGCAGTTGGGTGAATAGGGGGGACTCATGGAGACCCGGCCTGAGGAAATCAAGACCAGGCCCCCAAGATGCTCCGGGCAGAGAGAGTGGGACTGGGGACCAGGCAGAAAGAACAGCCGAGGCTAGCACACCCCAAAACAGGGCCTGGCTGTCGGTGGGGGCCAGCGGTGGGTATTGGTTCAGGGATGACAGAGAAGGTGACTAGAGGAGGGATGGCATCCAGGGAAGATACCTGACCTGGCGGGACTTCAAAGCAAGAATAGAAACTGGGGCCACTCATGTCTGAAGCTGGCAGGTGAGCAGAGTGGGAGGGGCCCTATGACTGGGATACCCACAGGCAGAGCCTGTCCAGGTGACTCCCAGAGAGCTGGTCTGTGGGGGCAAGTCAAGCCAGAGGCCCTGGGTATGAAGTGAGCCCAGAGCTACCAGAGATGATCCTGGAAGCGGGTAACATCAGAGCTACTCCAGTGTGGGCCCATCATGGGGCATGTGGGGCGGGCGCTCTACAGTGGTATTGGGCACCTGGGCAGGGGTACTCCTACAGTGTGACCATCAGGTGTGCTCCTTTGGTGCCCATCAGCACAGAAGTGTGGCCTCCTAGGCAGGTAGACCAACTTGTTGGAAGCACACGGTCATGTGGGATCCCCTCTCTTGCAGACAGCACCAAAGCACCATCAGTCTATCACCTGACACCCAAATCCAGAGATGCATCTGACTCCCCGGTGACATTGGGCTACATGGTCAAGGACTTCTTTCTAGAGCTGGTGGCAGTGTCCTGGCCCTCTGTCCCCCAGGCTGATGTGCACACCTTTACACCCATGCTGTGGTTGTCTGGCCTCTACTCCCTTATCAGCATGGTCACCATGCCCTCTAGCAGCTGGCCCAGCCAGGTTTATGCCTGCAGTGTCACCCACATGCCCAGTGAGACCAAGGTGGACAAGAAGATCGGTGAGCCTTGGGCAAGGGTACAAGTGAAGAAGCACATCTCAAATCCATAGCTGACAGGCTCAGGGTCCTCCTGAGGTCCTGGACATGCCCTGGGGTGCAGGGCAGGGTGGTGATATTTGCCAGTCTTCTCCATTTAAAGAGCTACAGCTGTCTGCCCTCCCTGGTGTCCCCAGGACAGACCTAAAGCTGAAGACTTAAAGACTAGCCCCTGGGCTCAGAGTCAGGTGGTGGGTCTCAAAGCTGCAGAGAAGAACTGGCCTTGATGCCCACCCACCTCGGCACTGGTCTCCTCTGCACCAAGGTCACCCTGCCCCAATCTGCTCTCTCCCCAGTGCCAGATGTCAGCTTGAGATCAACCACTGAGTGCAGATGCCCATGTAACATGAGCATGACCTTTGTAAAGAGAAGTGAGCCCCTAAGGAAGGACAAGCCCTGTACACCTCCTAGGCCCCCACCACCCTGTCACTCATCTCAGCTCTGCTCAGCGGCTCCTGAAAATCTGGGAGGACCCTCCGTCTTCATCTTCCCACCCAAGCCCATGGACACCCTCATGATGTCCCGAAATCCAGAGGTGACATGTCTGGTGTTGGACGTGGCCCAGGACGACCATGAAGTCCAGTTCAGCTGGTTTGTGGATGGCACGGAGGTCCACACAGCCAAGGACAGGCCACAGGAGGAGCAGTACAACGGCACCTCCCGTGTGGCCAGCGTGATCCCCATCCTGCACCAGGACTGGCTCTGGGGCAAGGAGTTCAAGTGCATTGTCAACAATGGGGCTCTTCTTGTCCCTGCTGTAAGGACCTTCTACAATGCCAAGGGTGAGACAGGAAGACTTTGGACAGAGGGCATGGGGTGCCTTAATCTCTATGATGGCTTTAACACCTCCCCCGTGCCCCCACAGGACAGCCTCGGGCCCCTCAAGTGTACAACATGGCCCCAGTCAGCGATAAGTGGACCAAGAACAGGCCAACCTTGTCTGCTCTGTGAAGGGATTCTACTCCTCTGACATTCTTGTGGAGTGGATGAGCAACGAGCAGCCTGTGCACCAGGCCAACTATGTGAACACGCCTGTCCAGGCAGATTCCGATGGGACCTTCTTCTTGTACAGTAAACTGAGAGTGTCCAATAAGATCAGGGGCCAAGGACCACCTTACCACTACATAGTGATGCACGAGGCCCTGCACAACCACTACACCCAGAAGGTGGTCGCTCTGACCCAGGGTAAATGAGTGTGGGAGCGCTGCCACCTTAGTTCCCTGGGACCCCAAGCACACATGGAACCTTCCTGTAAATACTCTCGCTCCCAGCAGATTCTCCCTGAAAATAAAGCACCCAGCTCAACGCTGGGGTCCTGTGAGACTGGCATGGTTCTTTCTGAGGCCCACGGGAGCCCAGTTCTGCAGGACTACATGCTCAAGCGGGAATGATACAGGCCAGTGGTTCCCCCGCTCATCAGGATCTCTCACCAACCAGCAATAGCTCACGGTGGCTCCGTGTTCACATGGAGATCATGCTGTGCTGTCCCAGGGTATCTCCGACCCCAGGTCACGCACGCACCGCCCCCCCACACACACCTGGTTGTCTGTTTGAGGCAGGTAGGGCACTGCGCAGATTCCTCCAGGGTCCCTGAGCTCAGAGCCATGGAAAACAAGCCCCTCCTGCTAGATGGCAGTCTGAAACCCTCAGGTCACTAACACTCACACATCACACACGCACGCCAACAATCACATGCTCCCCAGTGCACACACCCACACATGAAAACATGCAGACACATAAATGCATTCACGTGCAGAGAGACACAGAGACACACGAACACTCACATACACCTGTACATATGCAGATGCACATACAAAACCCACATGTGAACACGTGTACACACATACATGTGCACACAGGCACTCACATTCACGCACACACCTGTATATGCACACAGTCATTCACACAAATATACACATGTGCCTCAGTGCACACACCCACAAAAGCAAACATGCAGATACACGGGTCCACATTCATGCTAGCATAAATGCATGCACACACAGAGAGACAGACACACATCCACTCACACACATACCTGTATACATGCAGAATCACATGCAAAAACCCACATGTGAACACATACACACATACATAGGCACACAGGCACTCACCTTCATGTAGACACATGTACATACACACACAAATATACACCTGCCCCCATTGCACACACCCACACAGGCAAACATGCAGACACACGGTCCACATTCACTCTAGCATAAATGCATGCACACGCAGAGAGACAGACATGCATGCACTCACACACACCTGTATATATATATGCAGGAGCATATGCAAAACCCCACACGTGAACAGACATGCACACACATACATGGGCATATGGGTCCTCACATTCATGCACACACTTGCACATACACACACACATGCACACAAGTATATACATGTAGGCACATGAGCTCACACACATACAGAGCTATACATGCACACATGAGCAAACAAACATATGCAGACTTATACACAGGCACGTATACACTCACTGAAGTGCATACATGGGCACATACACATGGACACACAAGAGATCACTAACACGCATACCTGTACACCTACATGAACAAACCTATGCACATAAGCAGCCACACAAGGACAGGACACGCGTTCATTTACTTAGACATACACATGGACACACAAGCACATACACATGGACAAACACAAGGGAACATGTGAACACACACCGTCACTGAGAAACAGATGTACTTACACGTGCACACAGACACACATAAAGAGCACATGGACATGCATGTGCACACATGAACATGCACACAAGCATGTGCAATGACAGACACACACACCAAATGCCTCGCCAGCTGTCCTGTGAGGACAGTTCCCTCCCGCGAATACACGGACCAGTCTCATCCCACCCCCTCCAACGTTGCCTGCACTGCTTCTCCCTCACCAACCCAGAGGAGTCAGCCCAAGGGCAGGCACCCACACCCCCTCCCAGACAGGCCCTCCATGTCCACCCAAAGGAAGGAGCTGCCCTGGGCTCCTCACCTCTCCACAAGGTCACTGCTCTGATGGTTAAGACCAGTGCTGATGGCCCATGTATTCACCCTTCTGCCCCTTCACACACAGAAGTCAAAGTCTTGCGCTGTCCCTGGCACTGTGGGCTCACTGGTCACCACTGGGACTCTCTGTGCCTTCTGCTGTCCCTCACGCCCTTTGGGCCTTCTCAACAGGACAGAGTTTGAAGTCTGGGAGTGGAAGGGTTTACATCCGAGTGGCCTTGCCCCCAGATCACCCTTTAGGGTTCCCTGACCAACCCTGTGCCAGTGGCCAAGTGAGAGGCTGTGGTTCCCAGAGCTAGCCAAGTCTCCATGGAGACCCAGGGTCTTCTAGCCCTGCCGAGGTTCAAGCTGTAGGACAGAGACTGGACTGAGGACTGGGGAGAGAGCCGAGAAAGCAAACCAAACACATCCAAGGAGGTCTGATGTTGGGGCTGTACTGGACCTGCCAGCAGGGGACAATAGAACCATCCTCACATAGATGAGTTCCCCGGCCTGAACTGTCCTGCTGACCACCCACAACCCCACCCCCAGTCTCTGAGTGCATGTTGGGGCAGGACATGCTCACTAACTGCTCTTCCTTGTCCACAGCTGCCCCCAGATGAGAGTTGCGCAGCCGCCCAGGAGGGTGAGCTGGAAGGGCTGTGGACCATCACCATCTTCATCACCCTCTTCCTGCTCAGCGTATGTTACAGCGCCACAGTCACCCTCTTCAAGGTCGGCATCTCACGACCACTGCCCCCCATCAGGGCTCTACCTGCCACCAGCAGAGGCCCGATCAAACAGGCTGCCCACCTGAGAGGGGTGGGCAAGGGGTAGGGAGGCAGGGGATGCCTTGCTCATGACCACCCCCATGTCACCCACAGATGAACTGGATCTTCTCCTCCGTAGGGAACTGAAATGACCAATTACTGAGACCAGGCAGCCTAGGGGCTACTCAGAGAGGAACACACCAGCAGCCTCCCCACTGCCCCCTTAAGAGTAGCTCTGCCTCCATCCAAGCCCTGTGCTGACCTCTTAACCTGCTGCCCTGAGCACTCACTGACCTCGGCCATGCTGGCTCATCTTATTCCTATCAACGAACTGCAGGATATAATGCTCTAGACAGCAAGGCTCCATCCTTAAACACCATGTCCATTGGACCACCAGCACCACTGAGACACCACACTAGGAAGAGTGGGCCCTGGTTTCTTGTATCCACTTGGATCAAGTCAACAGGGTTTGGGCCCATGGAAGAGATGCAGAGACTCAGAGACCTTTGGCAAGGACTGCCTGGACCACGGCCAGGGAACCAGGAGCACCGACCATAGCGCAGCAGGCACACTCCTCATTCCCCCTGGTGGACCACTGCTGGTCCCTCACCGCCACGTCTGTGGCCCCATGAAGCACTGGTGATGTTCATTGGGGCAGAGAGGGTTGTCTCTGGCTTGGAGAAGAGACTTCCCATCAGATCACGAGCTGCTATGGTGCCATTACTTGCAGGGCTCCACTCCGTGGACAGGTGACCCCAGCTTCCGTTGTGCGGGACAGTGGAGGGAGCAACAGCATCCCGGCCACCTACCATCCCGCAGCTCCATCCAAAGAGCCGACCGCCCCTCCTGAGGGGAAATGGGAATGGCCTGGCACAACTAAAGGGTGGAGGCCTATGGTGAGGGTGGCATCCATGCCAACCAGAAGGACATCAGATTCCAGGGTCGAGTGGCCGAGCAGGCCCCTTTAGAGACACCTGCCTGCCGTGCTCCCAGTGATCGGGGTGTGTCCTGGGAGGTGGCAGATTGGCTTCTGGAAAAGGGGGCCGTGGACAATGAGCATGGGCCTGGAATATGATGGGACTCAAAGGGCTGCCCTTTGGCCAGCAAGACCTTGACGGAACTGAGACAGACAGGTCCAGGGTCCAAAGCTGCACGGAATGCAAAGACAAGGTTCCATGATGTGATGGAATACCAAATGAAATGTTTCAACAAGCTGATTAAGCACTGGAAACACTAACTCCTCTATGCCAGGGAATTTGGAAGACAGCCACTTGTCCAACCGAGTGGAAGAGATGTGTATTTGTATTCACCCCAAAGACAGGTAATCCAACAGAGTGCCCAAACTATAACAAAATGTCATTGATATTGCCTGCCAGTAAAATTTTGCTTAGGATCATCAGACAATAATTCCAGCAGTCCATTGACAGAAGAGGACATGAACAAGGGAGATCATTGCTGATGTCAGATGGACCTAGTATCAAAGTAGAGGATACTAAAAACATGGTGATTTGTATTTTGTTGATTACCCATAGGAATTTGACTGTGTAAAAAATAAAACAGCACGGATAACTTTGAGAAGAATAGGAATTCCAGAACACTTCATTGTACTCTTGATGAATTTGTACTTGGATCAAGAGGCAGTTGTGAAAACATAACAAGGGAATACTGGATGTTTTAAAATCAAGGAAGGTGTGTGTCAGGGTTTTACCCCTCACCATACTGGTTCAATCTGTATATTGAGCAAATGATCAGAGAAACTGGATTATATGAAGAATAATTGGGCTTCTAGATTGGAGGGAGGCTTATGAACAACGTGTAGTATGCAGATGACACAACCTTGCTTGCTGAAAGTGAGAAGGACTTGATGCATTTACTAGTGAAGATCAAGGATTTCAGACTCCAGTCTGAATTACGACTCAATGCAAGAAGACCAAAATACTCACAAGAAGGCTATTATGGAACATTGTGATTAATAAAGAAAAGTTTTATGTTTTCCAGGATTTCATCCTGTTTGTATCCACAATCAATGCTCATGGAAATAGCAGTTAAGAGTTGAAAAGACGTGTTGTACTAGGTAATATTGCTGCACCAGAGTGCTTTATAGTATTGTAAAACAAGAATCTTACCTTCAGTACTAAGGTGTGCCTGACACAATCCATGATATTGTCTATTGCCTTATATGCATGTGAAAGTTGGACAATGAAGATGGAAGACTGAAAAAGAATCAATGCATTTGAATGGTGGAAGACTGAAAAAGAATCAATGCATTTGAATGGTGGTGCTGGAGAAGAATATTGAAAGTACCATGGACTGCTAACAGGCCAAACTGGTCTTTCTTGGAAGAAGCAAGGCCAGGATGCTCCTTAGAGGCAAGATGGTGAGACTTATTCTTACGTATTTTTGACATGCTATCAGGAGAGACCAGTCCCTGGAGCATGACATCACGCTTTGTGAAATGGAGGAGCTCTGATAAATAGGAAGGACCTGAAGGTGATGGATTGACACCATGGCTACAACCTGGGCTCAGGGATAGGAAACAGTGTAATGATGGTCCAGGTCCAGGCAATATTCCCATCTGTTTTGTATGGGGACACTAAGAGTCGGAGCCAACTTGGTGGCACAAAACAACAACAAGAACTCTTGGGCCGGGCCTAACTGTGTCCTCTGTGTTATCAGAGGATGGGGTGGGGTGGGTAGGTATGATATTCTTTGTGTAAAATCCAGGTTAGGTAAATTTACAGAGACAGTGATGAGGTTCATAGTTCCTTATGATTATTATAGGGTGATTGTAGAGTAATGTAGAGCTAGTCATGATGAGTACAAGCATAACGATGATGTTCTACAATTGATTGTAGTGAGGATGGCATAACCCTTTATAATATATTTATACCCTTAAATTGGACAGTACATGAATTATATATCCATGCAACAGGGTTCATTTTCCTAAAAATTAAAAAAAATATTTCTACATTTGATGAAAGAATTTTAAAACCACGTTGTTAGAGTGTAGGTAGGCAGCAATAAAGAGGTTGGCCCTCCAGAAAAAAACCGTGGGAAGACAAGAGAACGATGCAAAAGATATATGCAGCTAAAAGCTGGTTCTATGATAGGATCAACAAAGTATATAGACTGCTGGTGAAACTGACCAAGGATAGGAAGGGGCAAACATCAATAGCCAGGATGAGGGATGAAACAGGGGCAATTACAACAGACCCCAATGAGATTAAAAGGATAGTCACAAAGTACTATGATGGTCTGTATTCTAATGAATTCAGAAATGTGGAAGACATGGATAAATACTTGGAACAATAGTCCCTCCCTAGATTATCTCAGACAGAGGTCAAGAACCTCAACAAACACATAGCAAAAAAAGAAATAGAGGGGGTCATGAAGAACCTACCAGCCAAAATAGCTCCTGGGCCAGATGGCTTCACAGCGGAATTCAACCAAGCATTCAGGGAAGAGTTGACCCTGATCCTCCACAAAGTATTCCATAGCATAGAAAAGGATAGCAAACTCATTCAACAAACTCAGCATAACTTTGATACCCAAACAGACCATAGACTCCACTGGCATGGAGAATTACAGACTGATATTTCTAATGAACATAGATGCAAAATATTAGCCAATAGAATACAAAAGTATTCTATTGAAAATCCATCAATCCATCATCTGAAAATCCATCAATATTTTACATCACAGAAGAAAAAGGATAAAAACCATAAGACAATATCCATAGATGCAGAAAAAGCATTTGACAACATCCAACACCCATTCCTAATTACGACACTCACGAAGACAGAAATGGAAGGTAAATTCCTCAAGCTGATATCAACTATATGAAAGGCCAATGGCCAACATCAGTTATTGGAGAAAAGACAAAAACAATCCCATTGAAAAAGGGTACAAGACAAGGATGCCCTTTGTCCCCACTTCTATTCAATATCATCCTGGAGGTTCTAGCTAACAACATAAGACAGCACAAGGGAATCGACAAAGGATCCAAAAGGGAGAGGAGGAGGTGAAACTATCGCTATTTCCAGATGACATGATCCCGTATATTGAAAACCCCAAAAGCTCCACAACAGGAGTACTTACAGCAACAGAGGAATATGGAAGAGTGGCAGGATACAAGATCAACAAACAAAAGTCTGTAAGTTTTCTATACACATCGGACAGGACCACAGAAGAGGAGATCAAGAAGGAAGTACCCTTCAAAGTAGCTAAGAACAAACTGAAATACGTAGGAATATATTTAACAAAAAAAAACCCACTAAAGACCTATACAAGCAAAACTATAAGAGCCCACTACAGGAAACCAAAAGCGACCTCCACAAATAGAAGAACATCCCATGCTCATGGAATGGAAGGCTTAACATAGTAAAGATAACAATCTTATCCAAAGCACTTTACAAGTTCAATGCTATTCAGATTCAAATACCAACACCTTCTTCAAAGAATTGGAAAAACTGATCACCAATTTCATATGTAGAGGGAAGAAGCCCAGAATTAGCAGAGAACTCCACAGAAAAAGGGAAAAGTTGGAGGATTCACCTTACCCGATTTCAATGCCTATTACACAGCTACAGTGGTCAAAACAGCGTGGTACTGGCACAATGACAGATACTCAGACCAGTGGAAAAGAATAGAAAGCCCAGGAATAAAACCATCAGCATATAGACAACTGATCTTTGACAAGGGTCCCAAAACCATCAAGCAGGAAGCAGATGCCCTTTTTAACAAGTGGTGCTGGAAACAATGGATATCCACATATAGAAAAATGAAACAAGATGCTTACCTCATCCCATGCAAAAGAATAAACTCAAGGTGGATCACATACCTAGAAGTTAAACCCCAAACCATCAGGACCATCAAGGAGGGAATCAGGACAAACCTAAGAGCATTGGCCCAGGAATTCATAGGCTCACTGCAATAGGGAAGAGTACACACACAGGTGGACTGGAAATCTACAAATGGTATTTAATAAGAATAAAACAGCTGTGCACATAGAAAGACTTCACCAAGAGGATGACAAGACAACCCACAGACTGGGAGAAGATTGTTAGTAATGACACATCGGATAAAGGGCTCATTACTAAAATCTATAACACCCTCATGGCCTGCAAAAAGAGGAAAACAATTAACCC